CAGGGTTGACTGAGCCTTCCATCCTTCCGAGGTGGGTAAAATGAGGACCCAGATTGTTGGGGGCAATATGCTGACTCTCTGTAAACCGCTTAGAGAGGCCTGAAGGCCTATGAAGCGGTATATAAGTCTACTGCTATCCTAGATAAGTTGTTTTGGTGTTTGTTTTAAATTAGAAATAGAGTATGTATTTTTTTTTAAAAACTTAGATACCTCTTTACTTTTTTTTGTAGCTTAGTTGATTTGCAAACCAATCAAAATGGAACTAGTAAATGTTGCACTATTCAGAGTATAAGACACACCCTTTTCCCTCAAAAAAAGAGGCTGACAATCTGGGTGCGTCTTATACACTGAATACAGCATTTTTTACCTCGCAAAACCCCGCCCCTTCACCAAAATGGCCATGCATTGCCTTTAGGAGGCTTTCAGAGTGTTCTTAGGGGCTGGGAAGGGCAGAAATGAGTAAAAAAACAGGCTGTTTTTTTGCTCAATTTTGCCCCTCCCCCCAGCCCCCAAGAGCACCCTATAAGCCTCCTAAAGGCTATCATGCCCTTTTTTGACAAAAAAATGGGCCATTTTTGGGAGGTCTGCAGAATGCAAAAAACTTTTTTGTTTTAATTTGCCTCTTCAAAATCTTGGTGCATCTTATACTCTGGTGCGTCTTATACTCTGAAAAATATGGTACTTAAAATGCTTATGATGGAAAAAACTGAGAAACTAGAAATAGGATCAGCAAATAACCCAACACTGTTCTGGATTTTACTTTGTAGTATTACAGCACCTTGGATGTAATCCCCAACTATACGAAACATCACTCGAACACCATCAACACTGGCAGAATCACTATCAGTTAATTGCAAAAGGCAGCTTTGCTTGAAACTGCTTACATCCTGCGACAGTACCTTTAACACCATCAAACAACCGCATCTGCCCATCCCAGGTCCTTAGGAAGAACTTGATAGGTGGATAAAAATGTCAACTCCACTCTGAACATTTGGCTGATTGTGCAAGCAACCATAATAAAAATAGTTGCTGCCCTTAGATTAATTCATTTTTTGGGGGAGAAATGTGCATTCTCATCTTCAGTGAAATGGCCAACGTTAACAAATGCAAAAAGATTTAGATAACATAGGGGTGTGAATTCAGGAATAGAGGACAATTTTTAACAATTAACTCTTTATAACTCATTGTACAGATATTTGTGGGTGCTAACATGTTTATTAGTACAAAAGTCCATTTACCCTGACTGCTGTCCCTTAAGGAACTTTTTTCTAAACGTTCAAGCCAAAAACACTGCCAGTATGATTTTACAAACTAATGAAAACAAGATAATCCCATTTTATATGATCTACAAAGAAAAACTATGGGAGGAAAACTGACAGGAAAGGGAAAAGGAAAGCAAGCAGATTCAGGCACTAATTCGTAGCATTTTAATATTCTTTTCATGATCAATCCAAATGGAAATTAGCTGCTCACACTTCAACAAGCACCTCTGACAAGAATATCACAATCATCAGCTCCCACAAGTGAAGTCAAGATGGCAGTTTCTTGCCATCTGTTGCTGTTGCTGCTTTGGTTATTTACAGAATTGTTGATTGCAGTAGCCTGTGTGTGTGATGTTTGCTTTACAGGGAAACATTAAACAATATGACATGTTAGCTGCTGTCATACTGAAATATTTTCTCTTGAATGAAAGATAGTCCTTGGCCCTAGATTGTGGCCATGACAGCCCTACATATAGCAGAGTGAAACCAAGGCACGGGATCAAATTACAGTAATTTTCCAGGGGTCTAATGGAGTGCTCTGATAAATTAGTGGAATCTTTGCTAACATTGAACATCTAAAATTAGTCCTAAGAGATACATTTCCACCTCTTTAGTCTCATATCTAAGTATTTATATAGATCAGGGGTAGTCAACCTTTTTATACCTACCACCCATTTTTGTATCTCTGTTAGTAGTAAAATTTTCTAACCGCCCACCAGTTCCACAGTAATGGTGATTTATAAAGTAGGGAAGTAACTTTACTTTATAAAATTTATAAAGCAGAGTTACAGCAAACCCCTATCGCCCACCATGAAAGCTGGAACGCCCACTAGTGGGCGGTAGGGACCAGG